TTGGATTCTCTGGTCGATTTCGACGTATAAATGACTGTGTAGAACCTTACACATTTTTTTTTTTAAAAAGAAATGTGTTGTAGCATACCTACGGACGATAATGGTTATGTCCCCATTCACATAAATACAGTAGTAAATACTGTATGTTGATCTGCAGTCGGAGATACGTCTCCAGCTATGCTGGTCAAACTCTTTGCCCGGAGGGAAAGAGGATCCATCAGACGAGGCTCTGTCGAAGGGCAGAGTCTCGACTCGGGAAAAAAGCTCCCCGACCCCGTTTTATACGGGGTCTACGGGGAAGTTTTGGCCGAGACTACGAGTTCGGATACCTCACATTAAATTCGGCCTTGTGCCACATCTGGCCGCGTGGGACGGTTGGTATATATCCCGCAGCTTGGAATTTGTCTCCAGCTGTGCTAGCTAAACTATCCGCCTCTGGGCAGATAGAATCAATCAGAGGAGGGCAGAGTCTTGTCTCAGTGACCCTGTTTTAGACGTGTTCTACTGGGATTTTTTGGACGAGCCTACGAACTCGAACGCCTTGTGCCACATTTGAGCTCGAATTGTGGCTGGGAGATATCCTGAATTTGGAGATTCATTGTGGAATTCGCTTGACTCGCTTCTAGCAGTTGACTAATTCTTCTACGCGCCGCTGGCGAATCTTATATGTGTTGTTCTTATCCTAAGTATTATCGTTCATTACCAAGCTTCGTATCATTAATATATTCAGTAACCTTCACTAGTTGACAATAAAATGATAACTGAGAAATGTGCAACATTGTGTAAGTAGAATAAAGAATATCTTAAGTTTAAGTTTATTAAGAGGAAAAAATTCCCCAAACTAGTAAAAAACCACGCAGATTGTTGAAAAAATATCATATTTCCGAAATAACATATATTTTGATAGTTGTGGCTAAGTCTTTTTATTTGTCCGTGAATTGACTAATCAACAACTAGAGACACGGCGTGCTTTCCTGGTTTAAAAGTAAATCCACCCTCCATGATTCTTCACTGAGAGTTTCGGCTTGATAGCGAGCAGATATAAGGTGTAAGGAAGTTTACTCATTCACTGTACCCTTTTCGTCACTGACAAGTAGTCGGCAATATTTCCCTGCCGAAGAAAATAAAATTAGCTGATGCAAATGCTAGTTTCAATGAGAAATCAAAATGGTGTTTTTTTTTTGGTCATTGGCCTGAAATCAATCGATACGACCCAGAGCGAGAAAATGATGATAGTTCACTAAACACGTTCGAACTACATAGGATATCGTAACAACAAATAGTATAAAACGTACCATGAAATCTCTTTAGAATCACTCTCATACTAAAATTCAGAGGGCTTCTTTTAGAATGGGTTGCGCCCAAAGTAAGTAAAGCTGGAGGAAAATGGATCCATGCCTTTATAAATTTTGTTTAATGATTAATGGGAAATTTATGAGAAAAGTGCGAACATTATCAGTGGTAAAGTGTTTATAGTTCTAGACAGATAGGAAAAAAGGAAGTGACACAGGATGTTGATGGTCAATTTCAGATTGCAAGGAAGTGCCAACACGTAATTACTGTCAGCATGTAATTTTCATTCATATGTCCACAATCTGTCTATCAATCTATTTTGCATAAACTCTCACCAGAAGTCCAAAACGACTGACGTGATATCTGTCCAATCAGAAGCCAATATCCACACCATATCTTTACTCCATCTCTATGAAGTCAATTATTCCACTGAACGGTCACAACTCATTAAACGTTGATTCTGTGGTTTCTGAAGGAAGTACCGTTTTCACGGGATGAACTAGCTAGGCATTTCATTCAGTCAATTATATGCCACACGTGTTACACGCGTTGACGATCATATCACTTTCGATTCATGACTGACTAGATTTACCGCAGTAGTTTGCCGTTTCTTTTTATAGTAGACTGTTAGCCAACCATGGCTATAAGAGCCAGTCTATCCTGCTATTCAACTCGTAACTGGAAATTTGAAGGAAAGAATTCATGCCTTCACCAAGGTTATTTTCAATTAATTGAAGTAACGCGCATCCATGTCCCGTACCCAGCCGATTTTGAATTTAGAGCTGTCCTTCTCCAAGGTTGGTTGTCAACAAAGGCTAAAGAGAACAACCTTCTCTACTATTTAGTTCATGGCTTGTTAGAAATATAGAAGTTTTTGTTTGGATACATTCGATTGTCTCAGCCGTTATCAGAAACTAAATATAATCACGAACAATGACGAGATTTGTTAGCTAAATATTGGTAAATTTTTGTTATGTTAAAATTTAGATTTATATATACGTGTATCGAGGACGAGATGCTATGTGTAAATACATTCACAGAACTTTCCAACACCAGAAAACAAATATATTGAATGGTTGTTCGGTTTGGTTTGGTTTGTTTTACGGCTTATCAAACTCAATGCCGATATTTAATGCCGATAACATTTTTATTAATAGTAATATCTATCTATCTATCTATCTATCTATCTATCTATCTATCTATCTCTTGGTTTGGTTTGTTTTACGGCTTATCAACCTCAATGAGTTATTTAAGGGCCGACAATATTTTTATTGCTGGTAATATTTTTTTATCTATCTATCTATCTATCTATCTATCTATCTATCTATCTATCTATCTATCTATCTATATTGGTTTGGTTTGGTTTGTTTTACGGCATATCAATCTCAATGGGTTATTTAATGCCGATTAAATTTTTATTGCTGGTAATATTTTTATCTATCTATCTATCTATCTATCTATCTATCTATCTATCGTTTTGGTTTGGTTTGTTTTACGGCTTATCAACCTCAATGGGTTATTTAATGCCGATAAAATTTTTATTGCTGGTAATATTTTTCCTTCAAAAATGTATTGCTGCTAATAATGTTTTGCTGGAAATAGTTTTTCTTCAAAAATGTATTGCTCGAATTAAAACCTATTTTTACATTTTCATATTGTTTTGACCTCAATTTGGGGTAATCTATTTGCCCATAGTTGGAACCCTAGCAAGTGCTGCCACCCCGGGTCTGGGTGAACCTGGGAACAACAGCAAATAAGAGGTGGTTCAACGCTCTTCAAAATCTGATCAGAGTCCATGTTGTTGCATGTCGTTTATCGTTTTACCCAGGACGCTTCATTCGGTGGGGGGGATCTTACCCCTTCGCAGAGGTGCAGTCAGCGTATTATGAAGCCCCAGCTGATAGGGTGGTTCACGTAATTGAAGTAACGCGCATCCATGCCCCGTACCCAGCCGATTTTGAATTCAGAGCTGTCCTTCTCCGAGGTTGGTTGTCAACAAAGGCTAAAGAGAACAACCTTCTTTACTATTTACCTCAAGGCGTGTTAGCAATCCAGCAAGGAATCAGACTAAAATCAATACGTAATGTACTAGTCGAGAACAAGGGCGTAATTAGTAATCCCAACTGCAAAAGCGTTTAAAAGGGGATGAGAGCCTTTGTTATAAAAAGAAGAAATCAAAACTTTCATTATATTAATTATTAACACGGCCACAATGTAAGGACAACAAGGCAAGTGATGATAAAAAAAGCAGAGACTAAGAACTATTTTCCAATTGGCTTTTTTTTCTAATTTGTTTTACTTTAGGATTATTCTAAGAAATTTAACAATATTGTTGACATGGAAAACAAAAACAAACTCTTAAATAAAAAAAAAGTTATCAATATCCAGAAAGAGGCTTACACAGGAGAGTTTTTATTTTTTTAATTTTTTAATTTGATCGAACGACATAAACTTTCGCTTTTTCATCATCACTTACCTTGATAAAATCGAATGACGAAAGGCGTCATTATATAATTTAGGACATTAATTCCTAAATTTTCGCTTGAGGATGAAACAGGGCTTCCTACTTTAATTCAATTTAATTTCAATAATTACATTGAAGTTTTTGGCTTTCGTTTTTGAAACATGAGAACTCTTATGTAGCGAAGGAATCATATTTTTTCTAAATAATTATAATTTAAGCTCTACTTCTGCATGGAGCACTGTTTTTTTAAAAATACTAAAAGAGCTCCGGATTATTTACCTAATGTGTTCTTTCCTATTATCCTACATATCTGCATACACACACACACACACACACATATATATATATATATATATATATATATATATATATATATATATATATATATATAAAGGAGAAACCACATACGTTTTTTTTTATTATAACGGGTATTTTGTTGTGAATTTGTTTTAACACACACACACACACACACACACACACACACACACACACATATATATATATATATATATATATATATATATATATATATATATATATATATATAAATGTTTCTAGTTGTTCCAACGAGGAAAAATGAATATCTTAAAAAGAAAAGAAAAACCAGAAACGATTTATTCTTCAGATTGAAGAATAAAATAAATATATATATATATATATATATATATATATATATATATATATATATATATATATATGTGTGTGTGTGTGTGTGTGTGTGTGTGTGTGTGTGTGTGTGTGTGTGAAAAAAATTCACAAATTCAATACCATTAACCAAAAACGTATGCGGTTTCTCTTTTTATATATATATATATATATATATATATATATATATATATATATATATGTGTTTTGTTTGTGTGTGTGTGTGTGATCATATTTATATGTTTTCATGCCTAACAAAACAAAGCCGAAACTTTATGCAGCGAGTTCAAATCGCGCTCCCTACCCAGTAGTAATGGTCTGTGTCTAGTATCTTCTTAATTTCGTCTTCAAAACCAGATGTCTTTTTTGTATTGAAATATGTGTTTTACTACTGTCTCACGTTACATGTGCAAATTAATCGTAACACTTATTGCAAAAGTGAAGGGTATTCCCTTTGTACACATGGGGGAGCGTGTTGGCGTTATCGGGGATTTATAGTCCGGTATGTGTGTGTGTGTGTGCGTGTTTGCTGACGCGCGCACGTGTGTATGGTTGGTGCGAGACTGAGAAAAAATAATCATTCTTCAAGCCACATCAGTTAACATTGGGTGAGATAAAGATTAAGGTAGAGATAGATGAAAGACGAGATAGATAGATAGATAGATAGATAGATAGATAGATAGATAGATAGATAGAAAAATGAATGAGATAGATAGATAGATAGATAGATAGATAGATAGATAGATAGATAGATAGGACAAGAATGAGATAGATAGATAGATAGATAGATAGGACAAGAATGAGATAGATAGATAGATAGATAGATAGATAGATAGATAGATAGATAGATAGATCGATAGATAGAACCAGAATGAGATAGATAGATAGATAGATAGATAGATTGAACCAGAATGAGATAGATAGATAGATAGATAGATAGATAGATAGATAGATAGATCGATAGGACGTGAATGAGATAGATAGATAGATAGATAGATAGATAGATAGATAGATGAATAGATATGATATGGACAGGACAGGACAAGAATGAGATAGATAGATAGATAGATAGATAGATAAATAGATAGATAGATAGATAGATAGAACAAGAATGAGATAGATAGATAGATAGATAGATAGATAGATAGATAGATAGATAGATAGATAGATAGATAGGACGTGAATGAGATAGATAGATAGATAGATAGATTAGATAGATAGATAGATAGAAAAACAATGAGATAGATAGGAAAAGATTGAGATAGATAGGTAGGAAAAGAATGAGATAATGTAAGAAAATGTGTCCATTTATAAACGAATCGGAAGCTGAAAGATGAAATAAAAGAAGAAATTCCTAAAAGGAAAAACCGGAAGAGAGTGATAGGTGAAGAGGTTGAGAGACGAAGTGTAAAGAAATGAATAGAAAAATATTGGGTGAGATAAAGATTAAGTTAGAAAAGGATGAAAAACAGGATACCGTAAGGGGTCGATTTAGTGCTTGGCTTGTTTATTTAAAAAATAATAATAATAATTTGAATCGAGACGGGTGCAAAATGAAAAATAGACATGTTTAATTTTTCTGTTTGTTTTGAGGCATTTTCATAGTTACATCAATAGGAATAACACAAGCCAAGAAGAATAACCAGTCATTTTGAATGCTGACATAATTTTGAAAATATATAAAACTATAAGCACCGTTATAATCCTTCTTTACATTGACGCGCTTCTCTAAAATATCTGTTAAGTCGATCTTTGGCCATTACTTGAAATTCCTTGGTGAAAGGAGTGGACTAATGCAAGAGTGGGGACTTATTCGAGATGAGACGAATGAGATAGATAGATAGATAGATAGATAGATAGATAGATAGATAGATAGGAAAAATGAGATAGATAAGAAAATAATGAGATAGATAGATAGATAGATAGATAGATAGATAGATTGATAGATAGACAGATAGGAAAAGAATGAGATAGATAGATAGATAGATAGATAGATAGATAGATAGATAGATGGATAGATAGATGAATAGATAGAAAAAAAATAGATAGATAGGAAAATAATGAGATAGATAGATAGATAGATAGATAGATAGATAGATAGTTAGATAAGGAAATAATCAGAGAGAAAAAGATATATAGTTAGAAACAGAATGAGAAAGAAAGACAGAAAAATGAAAGATAAAAAGTAGACTAAATAAGAAAATAATGAGATAAATAAAGAAAATATATATGCAATATAGTTAAAAAGATAAGATAAATTCAAAAGATATATAAACTTCCATCAATGAGGGATATATAATACAGGGCAAAAAATAAATGTTTCAAATGCAAAAATAAATATATATATAGGGATAGAAAATAGATAAAAATAATTTGATGAAAAAAAAAAAAAAACAATGAAAATGAGATGAGAACAGAAAGAAACTATGAAAAAAATGAAAAATGGAAAAGAAAAGAAAGAAAGAAGGAAAAAAAAAAGAATGAAGGTAAGAAAAGAAAATAGAAAGAAAAAAGAAAGAAAGAAAATGAATGAATAAAATATAAAATCAGAGATATAAATAAATATAGGTTATTAAAGAAAGAAAGACATTGAGGTTATCAATAAAAGAAAACAAAATCCTAAAAAGGAATAGAAGTGAAGAAAAGTGCAAAGTGTTGGGAAAATAATGAAATTCAGATTACGAAAGAAAGAAATAAAAAAGTTATAATGATAAAAAGAAAAAAAAAAGATTAGACTTATTGAACAAAAGATTAAAAAGAAAGAAAATATAAATATTAAAGGAAAAGAAAGAAAGAAAGAAAAATGAAAAAAGAAAGAAAGAAATACAAATGAAGAAAAGAATAAAAAATAAAAATTTTCAAAAAGAAAAAACATATAGGTTTATCTAGAAAGAAAAAAAGAAAGTTTTTAAAAAGAAAAAGAATGGAATACAAATGAAGAACAGAATAAAAAAGATAAAAAGTAAAAAAATTAAGAAACATATAGGTTACGAATGAAAGAAAGAAATAAGAAATAAAGAAAATAAGAAATGATATAGAAATGAAGAAAAATAAAAGATAAAAAAAAAAAAAAAAACAAAATAGTTTTAAAAGAAAGAAAAGAAGAAAGAAAAAACGGAAAACAAAAAAAAAAAAGAATAAAATAAATGAAGAAAAGAATAAAAATAAATGAAAAAAAAAAGAAAATATATTTTGAATGAAAAAAAAAAAAAAATAAAGAAAATAAAAAAAGAAAAAAAAAAAAAATTAAAAAAGAAAACAAAAAAAAAAGGAAAGAAAAACAGAAAAAAAGAAAAAAAAAAAAAAAAAAAATAATAGGTTACGAAAGAAAAGAAAAAAGAAAGAAAAAAGAAGAAAATGAAAAAAAAAAAAAAGGAATACAAATGAAGAAAACAGAATAAAAAAATAAAAAAAAAAAAAAAAAATATATAATGTTAATTTATGAAAGAAAGAAAGAAAGAAAAAAAGAAAAAAAAAAAATGGAATACAAAGGAAGAAAAAAATAAAAATTTATAAAAAAGTCAAAAAAAAAACATATAGGTTACGAATGAAAGAAAAAAAATTAAGAAAAGAAAGAATGAAAAAAGAAAAAGAAAAAAAAAAAAAAAAAAAAAAAAAAGAAAAATAAAGAAAGAAAGGAAAAGAAAAAAGAAAGAAAAAGAAAAAGAAAAGAAAAAAAAAAAAAGAATACAAATGAAAAACTGAAAAAAAAAAATAAAAAAAAAAAAAAAAAAAAACAATTTACCAATGAAAGAAAGAAAGAAAGAAAAAAAGAAAGAAAAATGTAAAAAGGAAGAAAGAATAAAAAAGATAAAAAGTAAAAAAAAAAGAAATATTAAGGTTACAATTAAAGAAAAAAAAAAAAAGAAAAAAAAGAAAGAATTCATACAAAGGAAGAACAAATAAAAAAAAAAAGAAAAAATCAAAAAAACACCTCATTTTAGAAAAAAAAGAAAAAAGAAAGAATGGAATATTTCTTGAACAGAATAAAAGAAAAAAAAAAAAAAAAAGAAATAAGGTTAAAAAGAAAAAAAAAGAAAGAAAGAAAGAAAATTAAAAAAAAAAAAAATGGAAAAAATTAAGAACAGAAAAGAAAAGATAAAAAAAAAAAAAAAAAAAAAAATAAAACGAATGAAAAAAGAAAAAAAAAAGAAAAAAAAAAGAAAAAAGAAAGAATGGAATACAAATGAAGAACAGAATAAAAATTATAAATTTTCAAAAAAAACATAACCATATTTAGAAATGAAAGAAAAAAGAAAGAAAAGAAAAAATGGAATACAAAGGTTATTTCGAAAAAAAAAAAAAAAAAAAAAAAATATAAAAAATAATAAAAAAAGAAAGAAAAGAAAAAGAAAAAAAAAGGAAGAAAAAAAAAAAAGAAAGAATGGAATTGAAAATGAAGAATAAAAAATAAAAAAAAAAAAATCATAAAGAAAAACATATAGGTTAAATGAATGAAAGAAAGAAAAGAAAGAAAGAAAGAAAAGAATGGAATACAAAGGAATATTTAGAATAAAAAAGATAAAAAAAAATAAAAAAAAAAAACAATACTCACGAATGAAAAGAAAAAAAAAAAAGAAGAAATAAAAAAATTCAGAATGGAATTGAAAAATTTAACAGAATAAAAAAGATAAAAAAAAAAGAAAAAAATATAGGTTTGAGAATGAAGAAAAAAGAAAAAAAGAAAGAATAAATACAAAATAAGAACAGAATAAAAAGAAAAAAAAAAAAAAAAAAACATATAGGTTACGAAAGAAAGAAAGAAAGAAAGAAAAGAAAGAAAAAAAAAAAAAAAAAAAAAAAAAAAAAAATGGAATACAAATGAAGAACATTTAAAAAAGAAAAAAAAAAAAATAAAAGAAACATATAGGTTACGAATGAAAGAAAGAAAGAAAAATAAGAAAGAAAAGAAAAAAAATTTTGGAATACAAATGAAGAAAATAGAATAAAAAATAAAAAAAAAAAAAAAAAACATATATGTTACGAAAAGAAAGAAAGAAAAAAGAAAGAAAGAAAGAAAGAAAAAAAAAAAAAGAATGGAATACAAATGAAGAACAGAATAAAAAATGATAAAAAATTAAAAAAGAAAATATAGGTTACGAATGAAAGAAAGAAAGAAAAAATATTAAAGAAAAAAAAGAAAAAAAAAAAATGGAATAAAAAGGAAGAACAGAATAAAAAGATAAAAAATATCTTAAAAAAAAATATAGGTTAAAAAAAAAATGAAAAGAAAAAAAAAGAAAGGAAAAAGAAAAAAAGAAAGAATGGAATACAAATGAAGAACAGAATAAAAAGATAAAAAAGTAAAAAAAAAAGAAACATATAGGTTACGAATGAAAGAAAAAGAAAAAATAAAGAAAAAAAAAATAAGAAAAAAGAAAAATGGAATACAAAGGAAGAACATTTAAAAAAGATAAAAAAAGGAAGAAAAAAAAACATATAGGTTACGAATGAAAGAAAGAAAAAATAAAGAAAGAAAGAAAGAAAGAAAGAAAGAATGGAATACAAAGGAAGAACAGAATAAAAAGATAAAAAAGGAAGAAAGAAACATATAGGTTACGAATGAAAGAAAGAAAGAAATAAAGAATGGAATACAAATGAAGAACAGTATAACAAATATCAAAATAAAAAAAATTTGCATAAAAATTTTACGAATGAAAGAAAAAAAAAGAAAAAAGAAATTTAAAAAAAAAAAAAGAAAAAATCAAAGAATGGAATACAAATGAAGAAAATTAAAAAGATTAAAGAAAATTAGAAAACAAAAACATACTAGAAAAAAAAAAAAAGACAAAAGAAAGAATGTAATAGAAATAAAGAATAAAACAAAAATATAAAAAAGAAAGAAAAAAGAAAAATAGGAAAGAAAAAGAAAGAAGAAGAGTGCTATAAAACAAAACAAACAAAAAAAGAAGAAAATTAAAAAATCATGCCGGCTCAGAAGGTCAACTGAGAAGAATTTATTTCTTTGGCATGGTTCTGTATATATCAACAGGACCAACATCTAAATGTCATCTCGGCTCGCAGACAGGATGCTTGTAAGAGGATAGCTGATCCAATACTATCCAGCGATAGGTAAGGATGATAGGTCATCAATTGTTTGGGCAAATTTGGTGACCCACTGGCTAAGAGACCACCCCTTATTATGTAAGTCACCGGGGAAAAAGTCGAAATAACGCGAGGGTAGATAGATAAGCTCAGAGCCTCTTTTTTTTATTTATAAATTACTTCTACGAGACATTTTCAAGAAATCCATACTGTCAGGGATAAAGCAAACCGTATATAATAAGGGATTAAGTTCTGATAGATTACATTGAAGAAGGCAAAAACTAAACATTCAAAAAAAAAAAGAAGAGATTATATCTTTACCCTCGGGTGTTTTCTTATTTAAAGATGGCTGGTGTTTTGCTATTTAATATATATGGGCGATAATATATGTATTTTTTTTTCTTTTCTTTCTTTTTTTTTCTTTTGCTCTTTTCATACATGTAGTGGGATTGGCTTACCCGAGTGTCCACTCAGTTACATTTCTCTGAATTAACGAAACTGCTTTATATTACTCACCAGAGAGAACCGTCCCTGCCTCTCATTAGAATGTCTGACGCTCAACTCCACGAGAACACCTCTTTGCGACTGCTCGGTCTCACATTGTCCGCTGATCTGAGATGGAACGAATACATTGAGTCAATGTCTTCGTCCACCGCAAAAAAAAAAATGGCACCCTGTGCCGGGCCAGGAAACTTTTCTCGTCGCTGTCGATCCATCAAATCTACAAATCAACCATTCGCCCTTGCATGGAGTATTGCTGCCATATATGTTCTGGAGCCCCTTCTTATTGTCTCAAGGTTCTTAATAAAATCCAAAGACGGATATGTAATGTAATTGGCCCTGATCTGGCATCTCATCTGCAGCTGCTCTCTCACAGACGTGCCGTTGCCTCCCTCTGTCTTTTTACAAATACTTTCACGGTAACTATTCCGATGAGCTGCTTTCGCTGGTTCCCAGACTTCATGAATTTAAGCGTTCTACTAGGCTGGCATCTCGCTCTCACCCTTTCACTGTCGAAACTTTTAAATGTAGCCATCTCTTCTACTCCAATAGCGTAATAGCCTGTGGAACTCCCTCCCCATTTCTTGTTTTCCTCATAGCTATAATCTCCCACTATTCAAATGTAACGTCAATCAACGTCTCCAGACCCCCTGATCTATCCCCTAACCGTCTCTTCATCTTTTCTTCTATCATTCCTCTTTGTTCTCGCTCCAACTCTGTAACCCCTTGCATGCTAGTGGCTTCCTACCTTGCTTGGGGTTGAATGCTTAATATATATATATATATAATATATATATATATATATATATATATATATATATATATATCTACTAGAGATGTAGATTCATACCTTTCCATAATGTTATTAAAGAGAAGTATATATGAATAGCCTCAGACTGACTATAATTTTTACCACGTTGGAAACTCCTTCACCTCTACTGACAACCCTTACTTACTGCTGCCGAACGGGAGAAATTTACTTTGGCATTTAGCCTACGAAGTTCAACTATTTAATTTCATTGTCTCGCCAAAATTGTTATTTCTATGTGTAATTGAATGACAAAAGACATAACGTCCATGTTTCGAAAGGACTTTTTCATGCTAAATTATCTTTTTATCGATTGAACCACACACACACACACACACACATTGTTTACATACACACACACACACACACACACACACACACACACATATATATATATATATATATATATATATAAATATATATATTAATTAGGATTTGAATAATCTAGTCTCGATGAATTAATTATGATTATTCAAATTAATTCATATATATATATATATATATATATATATATATATATATATATATATTAAAAAAAATAAAAAATTTTAAATATTCAGACACATTGGGTTGTATATTAATATTATTTCATTTTTTTATTATTTCATTTAGATTCCTCGACAAGTTTCGGCCAACATGGCCATCATCAGAAGAAGAAAATTTCTGCTTGCTAGTTGCAGTCATTTTGACAGTTTTATTGGTTGCTGGAAAGGGCATGTGCCTCTGTTAACTGTATGTGCGTGTTATTTGGTCCTTAGGGAATGTCAGTGAATATGATGTGTTAATTTGTATATATATATATATATATATATATATATATATATATATATATATATATATATATATATATATCACTGCTTGAACAGGCTTCTACTGCTCCGGATGCTGCGACTTAGGTCTAGATGACGTGGCTCATAGGGGCACAGTCTTTTGTTATAAATAGACTCGGATGAGTCACAAGACGGAATTTGAAAAGAGCTGGTGCTATATCTTCTCTTATTATTATTATTATTAATAATATTATTTTTTTTTCTTTTCTTCTTCTTCTTCTTCTTCTTCTTCTTCTTCTTCTTCTCTTATTATTATTAATGTTATTATTATTTTTCTTCTTCTTTTCTTCTCTTCTTCTTCTTCTTATTATTATTTCATATTCTTATTATTATTATTATTAATATTATTATTATTTCATCATCTTCTTCTTCTTCTTCTCTTATTATTATTATTATTATTTCTTCTTCTTCTCTTATTATTATACCTCGCCTTCTCCGAGATCCTTTGGTCCAGTGGCTGACGCTTACGTCATATCGTAACGGTCCGGGTTCGATTCTTGGTAGTGTATGGGCAGTGCTGATGAGTCCCAAAATAGAACGAAGCGGCCGTGCAGTGTATTATATTGAGGATTAGAGACTCGATGAATTATGAATATATATATATATATTTGTGTATTTAGGCAGCAATCCTTCTTTCATGCACGTTTCATTGAATATGCCGGATAAGGTGCTTTGATTTAGTTTGTTATACAATTTCTCATGTGGTCTTATATATTTTTTCTTTTCTAAAGATAAATTATACAAAAACTGCGCAATTGTTCTCTCTTTCCGAACGCTTTCGCCTAGCCATTTTCAGGGCTGAAAAATATTGACTAATAAAAAGAAATAGATTGTTGTATGTATGTATTTATATAATGTTTTCAAAATAAGGTTAAGATACCGTGTCTATGTTCATAGTTGTTGTTTTTTTTTTTTACTAAGGCTTCCATTATTGTTGGATCCTATTCGTAACATACTTTTTGATAACACAAATGTAATAGCATTGTCTACATGTAAAAAAAAGGCTAAACATTTCTTTGAAAATGAAAACATTATATAAATATATACATATATATATATATACATACATACAAGAATCTATTTCTTGTTAACAGTTAATATATTTAAACCTTGAAAATGGCTAAATGTATAGCATACAAAAGTATGTTTTCAATTCAAATGAAAATCGCGACATGCATGAAACTCAGAGTGGTACTAAACTATATATAATAAAAATATATATATATATATATATATATATATATATATATATATATATATATATATATATATATATATATATATATATATATATATATATACTATATCTAGTCACTCCTCCTACCCCAATATATAAAAAATATTAAGAGATATGAAATTATCCTCCCTAAATTCTACCTTGTCTCTTTTAACTATCCCCCTCATCCCCCTGTTTAATTACAAAACTTACACTACCCATCAATTTTTAATCTCATTTTTTTTTCATTTCGTTGTTGGAATATGTCACCTGATGATCCGAGTCCTTTAAAAGGATTTTGGTGAAATAAATTATTGTAATGGTACCTTAAAGTGGTCTGTTTTTCATTATATATATATATATATATATATATATATATATATATATATATATATATATATATATATATTATAAATTATTTTTGAAAATAAATTGTTTACTATTTTTAGTAGAATCCTTTCCTCAGGACACTATGGACAAGTTTTTTTTTAATTTTTTTTAATTAGAAAAAAAAAAAAAAAGAAAAAAACAACATGTCGATGCATATTCATTTTATTCCGAGTATTTTCGACATTAGCACAATGTCATCATCAGTGTCTTGTTTTTGCTAAGACAAAAAATATTGTTGCGTTGATCATTTTTCTATGACAAAATTATAATGTTAATCTGAATATTAAATTTTATTTTCAGATGTATATCAGCGAATCTAAATTAAAAGTGTACATGAGCATCGCAACGATCCGTTGCATAATAACGCTGTCAAAAGGGCTTGTAGTTCAACATAACAAATATGGACACCATTTCGATGCCAGTCTGATTAGGAGAGAAAAAGATTAACTAAGAAGAAAGTGCATTAAGATTACGCTAATTTCCTAATTTTCAAGGCTCATCCATAATATAAGCGATCATCGCAAGAAACAAAATAGCACAATGCGATATACAAGCAAGTAGAGTGAAAATAGAGATCTACTCAGAATCGGCTGGTTTTAATTCCAACAGACGCTAACAGCTCGAAAAACAACCATCGGATCTGATATATAAATTTAACATACTGCCACTCTCGTCGTAAAAAAAAAAATACCAACCTGAAGAACCAAAGACCTACAGTCTTCGGCGAAACACGTCGTTTATACGCTTCTCCACTTCATCCAATCGTCTGTAGAGAATGCATTTGTTTTCATTTTGTCATTCAATTACCCACCACTAACCTGATATATAGACTTTTATATAACGCTCTCCCCATTCACAGTATAATTAAACACATCTAAACCCCATCATTGTAATCTCTATAAGCGTATAAGCCGACTGCATTAAAAGATCTATTATGATAAAAATGGTATTTTTGCAAGCAACAGCAAAGCAACGTACAATTAATACTTTTAATTGATTTTCTCCTAAGAGGCTTCGTGAAATTCAATCTAGTTTCAGGCAAGACAAAGTCGTTTCTGGACAGTGGTACTTTACGTTTTAATTCCTACAAAGATTCGCTAATCACTGGCGTCAAATGCTGCTGTGATACGGCTCAAATAAGGAAGAAATTTCCTTGTGGGCGACAGTTAGATCGTGCCAATAATATTTGTAAAAGAGACAAATTTCTATGC